AAAGGCGCTGCTGACGGCGGCCCCGCACAACCCGCCGGAGCAAAGGAGGAAGGGGAGGAAAATAATCCGCAGGCGGATACGCATGGCGCCGAGGTTTCGAGAGAAGAAACAACTGGGCCGTCAGGGGAGCACGGAGGACTGGGCGGGTCACCGTCACGAGAAAATGAACCGTCGCCATCAGGAGAAGCGGAAGGGCACTCAGCATCGGGTGCTTCTACTGGCGTAAAGGCCGCCGAAGTTCAGCTTGGGGCTTCGCTGGGCGGGCCAAGCGACGCTGAGACATCGCTAGGCGAAGGACAGACAGAGGACAGTCTGCAGGGGCCACCACATGCAGCGCCTTCGACAGGGCTCGACGGCCAAAGAACGGTACAAGAGGAACAACACAAAACGGACTTGAGCACGCCTGAAGAAGTTCCATTAAAGGGAGCAGACGTCTCGGCAACCCAAGGTGATGAACACACTCAAGCCTTGAAGAATACATCAGATGTTAATGCTCAAGAAACAACCGAAATCGTTCCCTCTAAAACTCCCGATGGTGCTGCCGGCAGCCCTCAGGTGGAAGAGCTCACCAAAAGTGTTCGCAACGACGCCACGGGGCACGGTGTCGCAGTGTCATCGGCACCGACGGCAGGGAAAACAGAAGAAGCATCGACACCACCAAAGCCGCCAGCGCCAACTGAAGGGCCAGTGGAAACAGGGAAGGAGACGGCATTGGGGAAGGCTCCTTCGAAGGAAAATGGTGTCGAGGAGAGTCTGGTCAATGATGGCAATAACGGCGATGACAAGAAAGCTAAGCCCAAAGAAGCTCTGCCGGTCCCAGCTGTCACAAGTAATACACCGGATGGAAGGGCAGTGGATGCACCTCAACCCACTGCCCCTTCGGGCGGCGGTGGCACTTCAGGCGAACAGGCTGGAAAGAAGGCTGAGGCGATTGCCGAAGATTCTGCAGGGCCTGCTGCCGCAGCGGCCCCAGGAGCCCAACAGCAAGGTGTAGCTGCCGCTGGCACACCGACGAGCAACGAGAAGGAGCCGCTGCCAACAGCAAGGGACACCGCCACTGAGGCCAGCCACGCGGCGACGACGACTGACGGTGGCAGCGGCAGCAGCCCCGCGGCGCAGCCGCAGCCGGGGAGTTCAGTGGGGACAAACGAAGCTGGCCAGCGAGAACAGGAGCAGCCCGCAGCCACCGCACCCAAGCGGGAAACGGAAAAGAGTGGTGAGAGAGGAGAAGCCACTCAGCCGGCAGCGGGGGCGGCTGCTCAAGCGGCGAACACCACCAACAACTCGACGAGTGCAGCGAAGGCGGCGCCCGGCGACATCGACGGCAGCAGCACCGCGGCCGCGCACTCCGCCTCCCCCCTTGCGCTGCTTCTTCTGCTTGCGTGTGCGGCTGCCGCTGCGGTGCTGGCCGCGTGAGGGACCGAATGAGAAGGAGAGGGCCGTGCACACACAGCTCGTCCTTTTCTGTTTCTCTCTCTATTTATGTGTCCCCCTGCACGGACTCTCTCGTCCTCGCCGCACCCCACGAGGCACACACACACATAATGTGCTCGTATATATACACAACTCCACTCATGCAGGCCCGTTGGTTTTATTTTTGTTTTGCACCCTGATGAGCCGCTGCCGTCCTGCTTGGCCGCATGGGTACAGCACCGCAACTGTTGTTATCCTTTTCTTTCATTGTTTGTTTGTTTTCATTGCTTTCAATGGGCGACCTCTCTTTCTCTTCCTGGATTGGGCTGTGCGGGAACAGAGAGAGGACGTGCGTGTGCTGGTCGTCCCACGTGTTGCTCCGCGTCCCCACTGCTCGGTGGACGCGCCCCCACGCTTCGGTTTCACTTCACGGGGTTTTTAAATTTCTCTGTTTGTGTGTTTTGGGTGCCCGCACACGTTTTGCAGCCCGTGTGTGTGCGATGCTCCCTGCAGAGGGAGAGGGCAACTTTATTTTGGCTTCAGTCGACTGTTTTTTTTGTTTATTAATTCCGCTGCGGTGGCGGGCGGTGCGGATAAAACGAGAGGCGCAGCACGCGAGAGGGGGCCGGAGCAGGCGCGATGCCTCCTCTCTTTTTGGCGGGGCGGTCTTGTCGGCACCTTCAATCTGTTGGAATGCCGCACTGCCGCCCCGGGCCCCACTAGGCTTCTTCTGCCCTCCCTTCCCCTCCCCCCACTGCGCTTCGGCAGGCACACACACAACCACACGGCACGAATTGCAGGGCACGTGGGTGGTCCCTTCGCAGTCGGTGCTGGCGGTGCCGTGTGCGGCTTTCTCTTGTGCATGTGGCTGCGTGAACTCGGTGGGCCGCTCTCTTTTTGTTATTTCTATCTGCTCTCACTCTCTCTCTCTCTCGTTCGCTCTTTTTCTCTTGCTTCCGTCTTCCCCGCCGCCTTGAAGCTCACTGACGCCGGCGACTCTACGGCCAATATTTTTACTGATGGCGATGACGACGCTGGCGGTGTGCGCCCTGGCGCTCCTCGCGCTGGTCTGCGGCTGCTGCGCCTCGTTTGTCTGCGGGGCGACGGCGGCTAAAGTAAAATTGCCTGCGGCTAATGTGAAGGTGTTGGTGGATGTGCCGGTGGATGTGTCGT